GGCTGAAGATGTTATTTAAAAATATTAAAAAAAAATAGTGGGAATACAAAGACTAAAATGTAACTTTAAATAGGTATTATACGTCAACATTCCAAACTTTAACTTTTCACCCCTAAATGGGGCGGTATAGGGCTGAAAATGTGCATTAAGAAATTTTAAAAAAATTACGAAAAGTAAGCGCAGCAAAACGCAAGTTTTGACAGGTATTGTAAACTTCATTTTTATATTTTTTTTAAATATGCTTATTTCGGCCCAGCCTAGCAAACAACTTTCTGTTTCTAGTGGCAAAGTATCACTTTTCGCTCTTAATACATACGTTAATACGTACGTTATACTGTATTTATTACAATTGTTTAGCTTTGATTATACTTCTAAACTTTTGTATTTAATTTTGTAATAAAAATTTTTAAACATTTAAAACTAGTTTTCTTCTTTTTTCTGTAGATCTTCTGCAAAACACTTAATTTTACAATAATCAAATAAAAGGAGATAAACCACTTTTATAATGAAATATATTTTTTCTAATTTATACACATTCTTTTCTCTTTCTTCCTTTAAAAAACTTCTTTCTCTTTCATTTTTTCCTTTATATTTCTTTTTTCTTGTAGGAAGTGCTTATCTATTAAAATATAAGCATTATTATTGAACTGTGTGATGTTAAACGTATCTCATTTAAATGTCCGATCACTGATTCAACATTTTGTTGATTTTCGAAAGCACCGTCAAACGGGGTTAAGTGAATCAAAAAAACACATTTTTTTATCTTTTCTCCAAAGATAAGGAAAATAAAAATATACAAAAAATATTGAAGGTTGTGACACTCATTACGAGTGGTTTTAATGATAAATCATGTTTTTTAAAAAAACAGAAATATATAAATTTTGTTGTTAAAGAGTGACTCACTTTACCCTCTACTTTGGGGTAAAGTGAATCATGCATCTAAATTGTATTTTAAAATGTCTATTAGTAAAATGAATCAAATTTGAACAAAAAAAAAAACCCAAGTAGAAGGTAACAAATCATTTATTTTTATTTTATCACAACCCTATAAAGAAAATTAACTAAAACTAAAACAAAAATACAATCCTATAACAATATGGCACTTTAAATTGAAACTTTAAAAAAAAATTATTCTAATTTTTTCAGTTCATCTTCGTCAATGTCAAGAATATAGATACCCCTCTTCACTGATCTTTGTCGAAGCAGTCGAACTATCTGATCATAGGTGATTAAACAATAGTCTTGAATGTTCGAATAAATAAAAGAGCCTTTTCCAGTAGTTCCATTTTTTCGCATAACACTTAGTGAAACTTCACCGTCACTTAAAGTTTCTATGTTTCCAACAAATAATCTGTCTCTTTTCTTCGTAGGGAACTTTGTTATAACGAAGTCGCCTATTTTTGATTTAGTGGAAGGTTCTGCAACGACAATGTCTGTAACTGCCGACGTTGAAGGCTCTTCCATAAATTCGTCATGCTCGTTTAGAATATCTTCAGAGTTGCAATCGCTTAGGGCAAAGTCTTCATTTAGGTCGAAATCTTCTTCACACGTCTCTTCTTCTTGTGTATAATTGTTATTTTTCTTTGATGTTTTTTTGTCGATGTTTTATCTATTAATGTATAAACTAAATCTTGACTTGACACACTTTTCCCCGCTTTAATGTTAATTTTTTTTCCTCTTTTTATCGACTGAGTAGGTGTAGTTTTTAAATTTTCCAAGTGGATTCGAATTACGCGTGATAGTCATTTTCAGCAATGTTATTCTGGACTGTCCTTGGAATTTTTGTAAGAACTTTATCAGGATTCGGGGGCACTATTCCGCATGCAGCAAAACCAGCAATAGAAATTTCTTTCGATTTTAATCCAATTTTTTCTAAAGCATCTTTAAGCAGCTTTGGAAATTGTGTCATTGGAACAACTCCTCGATGTTTCATTTTTCATTTTTCTAAAATTGCTCTCCAAGAAATTTTAAGATATTTAAGATTAAGATTTTTAAGAAATTTTAAAATATGCAACATCGAGTGGCTGAAGCGTGTTGAGTTGGGGGAATGAAGCACAAATTTAATATGATTATTTTTATATTCTTGTATGATATTGACAGTTATATGACTATATAAATTATCTCCTATTAATACTTTTGGTCCATCTAATTTTCTGAAATAAGGTAGGACAATTGTCTTGAACCAATCCTCAAATAGTTCTGAATCGAACCATCCGCTAGTACTTCTGTTGTATTTGGCTCCCTCCATTCCCCCTCTGTCCAGCCTTCGTAGGAATGTTTTACCTTATATACTATGTAGGCAGGAAGTAACGTTCCATCTGCACCAATAGCAAACATGACAGTAGTAGTTATTTTTGATTAGTCAATTGACCTATGTGCATACTTTGCACCTATTCTGGTTATTACTTTAGCTGACCCAGAGTCGTCCACAAAATTGTTCTCGTTATTATTAATGATATTTTGCGGTGGAATATCTTTTAAAGTGTCACGTAAATTTTCAAAATGTGCTTAAATCACGTAATAAGTTAAAACTCCTCTAACGCGCTTTGTATTTTCTGCTAATTTAAAATTTAGGTCTCTATGTCTGCTCATAAAGCTGGCATATTCTCTTTAAATCTTTTTTCTGTCATTCCAATTTAATTTAAATATTGTTGCACAATTGTCCTAACGTCCGTACTTTTTAACGGAAATTCCCACTTGGCACAAATTACTAGGGTTTTCTTTAGTCTAGTTTCCTGAGCTTCAGTTAGTGCAGTCTGCCGACCATACTTTAAGGGGTTTTTCCATGATACCTTCTTTGAATTGTGCTAAAAAAACGTCAAACTGTTCTGAAGCTTCTCTTATAGACATTCCGCGTCGAACCTCTGCCAATGCCCGGACAACAAACACCGTATCATAATTACATTTTCTTCGTGGTCCCAACTTTGTTTTATACACCCTTGGTATGCTGAAACTATAAAAATATATTAATTAAAATACAAAAACAGCACAATTTTATTATATGACAAAATAAAAATAAACAATTTATACAATGCAACCCAAATATTACAGAAACATGAGTGATTCACTTTACCCCTTTTACCGGCTTTTTAAAAAAAAAAGGTGACAACTTTACTACAAATATTACGACATGAAATATATTAATATTATATTGCTAACTACCTAATAAATACATTTATTTTATTTAAACAAATTAAATTTCAAAACAATGAGTTCTACACTGTGTCGTTTTTAATATTTCATAAATAAACAAAAAATCGTTGATCCCATAAACTTTTCGTGTAACTTACCAGTCTACTTAAACGCAACAAAACACTCGGTACTGCGTCCAAAGGTACACTGAAGCGACACTCTGATTAGCACAGGGTTGCCAGATCGGTCAGCTGAAATTCCCCAATCGAAGTTCTAAAATCCTCTGAATTTCGGCCTTTAAAAAAAAATCACCAATTTTTTACTTTCCTATCTGTATACAGATATAAGGAAAGTATAGGAATCATGATTTTTTTCGACCTCGAGTTTTCGACGGATTTTTACGTTTTGAGGTCCCCTGAATCCGTTTTGACTATTTTCGCGTGTGTGTGTGTGTGTGTGTGTGTGTGTGTGTGTGTGTGTGTGTGTGTGTGTGTGTGTGTGTGTGTGTGTGTGTGTGTGTGTGTGTCTGTGTGTGTGTGTGTGTGTGTGTGTGTGTGTGTGTGTGTGTGTGTGTGTGTGTGTGTGTGTGTGTGTGTGTGTGTGTGTGTGTGTGTGTGTGTGTGTGTGTGTGTGTGTGTGTGTGTGTGTGTGTGTGTGTGTGTGTGTGTGTGTGTGTGTGTGTGTGTGTCTGTATAACGCATAACTCATGAACCGATACACAAAAAAACACCAAATTTTAAACTTAAGCTTTATTTCAGCGTCCAATGAGCTGATTAGATTTTGGGCAGAGTCGGAACATCTGGGGGGGTACTTTATAGGTGGTCATTTTTATATTTTATGGAATATATCTGTTATTTACGTTTGGAGAAGAAAATTGTTCAAATAAAAGTTACTTCTAATATTATTATCTATAATTTTTGCTTTATGTCAAAATTTCCTGAAATGGTCCGTATTCGAGAAATTTGACAGAATGTGCAAAATTCTGATTTTTATGAAAGTTGTTTGCGATATCGATCTCTATAATTTTTGTTTATACATGATTTTTCTAAAATGGACCGTAATGGAAAAGTGCTAAACAAAATAACAAAATAACCGGAAAAAGCCTGTAATACCTAGATAGGAAAGTCATGTGTTGGACACATCAGATTTTTTGTCTGTTTGCTGATTTTTTTAAATAAATTAGAAATTATTTTTCATACAAATAATTTTTACGCATGCGTAAAACATGTAGTGCATCAAAATAAAATAACATTCCTGAAGTTTATTTAATGCCAAATAATTTTTACAAATTCACAAGGAATATACAGATAGGTAATATAGCAAGAACGAAGCATAATAAGTAAAGAAGATCAACAACTTTTATTTGCTGATCTCTCATATTTTGTCTCCTATATACTATATAGGTACCTACATAAAAATATCATAAGAATAAGAAGATACTTGATAAGATATAATAATACTTATAAGAATTATGAATTATTAATTTCGGCAAATATATTCAATATAGCTTCATTTTCTTCTCGATTTTCTTTATTAGTATTATACATATTAGCATTAAATTTGTTTAACATATTTTCACTTGGCACAAAACTGATACAACCATTGTTTATAAGATGGAACCGCAGTCTAATTATGGAATCTGCACTACTAATTGCTAGTCGGTTTCGCAACTTCCCTTTAATCAGATTTGCAAGTGAAAATGCTGTTTCCACAGCACCATTGAAAAATGGTCGCGGAAGAAGAGCTAGTGCTAATTTAGATATCCTTTCAAACCGATTCTCATCCAAGGCATTTTTGTTTTCGGACACTTCAACACAAAAAGATTCAGCTATTTCTGGATGCTCCCATTCTACTCGATGAAGAGCATTTTATTCACTGACAGTAGCATCAACATCCTCATTGATTAATGACTTGAAGCTGGTAGCTAAATTTGTAATATCAGGTCTTCTTACTTGGCTCGTCGCGTTTTCAGGAGTTAACAAGTTTATTTTTTCGAGAACTTCAATGTTGGACGGTAATCGAGATTGAATTTGGTAACAAAGTTCAACTAAAAAATGTATACACCTTTCTTGGACGCAGGATACATCGTTCCTCTCTATTCCCACTTGTGCTTCATGAAATGAGTAACCAAAATTGATAATAGTTGCGCTCATGACGTAGTACTTGAAATTGAAAGAAAATATATCTTTATCAAGAACTTTTTCAAGACGCATTGGAGGTATAAGAATACTTTAGTAATTCCGAGCAAGTGCAGGAGGTCTTCCATTAATTTAAGAGAATTAGCTTGGTCACTTTGGAAATCTGTATTAAGAGCAGTTAGTTCTCTCAGAGTTTTCTTCAGAAAAACCATGTAAATTTTTTTATCATCTAACATCTCAAAAAAAATGTTGTGATGTATATCATCTTTCTCTATCTTTGGTTGCCTGAATGTACAGTTTTAGAACATCCCACTGATCCCATATTTTATTTATGGCATTAAAACGTGCCGGCCATCTAGTTCCACTTAATTTATCAATTTTTGTTGGCGCTGCTTCCTTTATTACTTTATACAATTTTTTATATTCAATCTGATGCTTAGAACTGCAACTAAACTAGTTGTGAAATTCTTTTATTAAAAAATCTAAATGTTTGGGAAGTGATTTAAAAGAATGCTTAGCAGCCAAGTGGAGAGAGTGGCAAATACACTTAATTACCACTAAATCTCGATTTGTCATAGCTTTTACATGAGTCGAAAATAAATTGTGTTTTCCAACCATGACATTTGTACCGTCTACGCCAATCCCAATTAAGTTTTCCATTGGATGACTGTCTTCAAGAAGTTTCAACTAATGTCAAAGCATCTCCTGCGGTAATTTCCATTAATCTGTAAATGATCGTAATTATTTTTCTCTTGAGTTTGCTATAATTTTTAATCATAAGACACATCATTTTGGTACAGTCGATGGCCGTGCTTTCATCAATTATCAGAGAATATTTTTCATTTCCAACATCAAGGATTAGATCTTCCAACAAGCATGGACTAATAACATTTAAGATTAAGGCTGTACATTTCGTTTGATGAAGTTTTACTCCATTGAGTAATTCGGAATTATCATCTAGACTATTAAGTAATTCACTTAAATGATCTGCCGTTCTTCTGAAACAATGCTCCGCAATAAAAGCAACTACTTTCAATTCTGCGACTTTTCTTTTCTTTGAAATATTAGTCGTCAAAAACTCAGTAATTTTTTTGCTGGGACCAGCGTTATATTTTTTTTTCAGACTCAAGATGTTTTCTTGATTTTCTATGCAACAAAAGATCTTTCTTATGTGCAATTAATGAACACTTGCAAACTTTACAAAAACCCCTTTTATCGTCTTCAGAGTTCGGCATAAGCCATCCTATTAAAAATATACTATAATTGGTATACGAATATTAAACCGAAGATAAAACTTACCCCTTAATTCACTATTTTGCTCCCAAACACTTCTCTACTTATTCGCCATTATTTTTATTATATACAACTCAACTCAACTCGTCGACAAACGCTAAATGTGAATCGGGGAATCCCTGTCCCGAGAGGGGGTTCTCATATCAACGTCTTTCAAGACAAATTATGCGGTCGGTAGGGTAGGCTTCGCTATACCGCTAGTGTATTAAATTATTTTAACTCTGCAAAAATAGATGGTTCGGCTTGTACAATGCAATAATAAATAAGCCATATATTTTTTGTTATTTATAATATCATAATATTATTTTAAAAAACCCCTGTTATCCCCAACGCAATAGTTTTTCCCCAGAAAAATCCCCTAGAAAACAAAAACCCCAAAAAATCCCCAAGAAGATGAAAAATCCCGAAGAAGATGAAAAATCCCCTAATTTTTGGGGAAAATCCCCTAACCTGGCAAACCTGGATGAGCACATGGAATAAACTTAAAGCTTTCGATGACAACTTTGCCGATTTTCCAAAAAGAACCCACTATGATTCACTTAACCCCGTTTGACGGTATGTTCTCGATACATAATACATTTAGAGACTTATAAGTTTATTCGTCTGGATAGACCAACCAGAGGCAGCGGTGTGGATATGTATATTAAAGAAAAATTTTAACATGAGTTAATTTTATCTGAGTGCAATGAAATTATAAAATATTTGTGGATTAAACTATAGGTTGGGAATACTACTGTAGCAATTGGAACATTGTATAGACAACCAATAAATAAGCATCTACATTTTTTAGATGAAGTCGAAAATATATTTTCGAATATTTGTTCAAATTTTGATTCTTATCTGTGTAGGCGATTTTAACACATTCACCGCCAGGGCGGACACTGGTGTCCGCTGTGTGGTCGGCTCATCACGCCAGGGCGGACACCGGTGTCCGCCAGGTTTAGAGGTTGATATTTCCTCGAAAATTCTGAATTTTGTAAATGTTTTATTATAACTTATTCTTTTTAGGCCTCTAGAATGGCCTACCGATCGTGGTTTTTTGAAAAAGAGTTTTGTTTAAATTTTATGGACTGTGTCCGCTATTGTGTCCACTGTGGCGTGTAAAAAAGTGTTTAAAGCAGCTAAACTCTAGGCGCCAGAGCGGACAAATTTTTTTTCAATGGAATTGTAAACTACTTTTAACTACTAAAATTTTATTGTTTTATTGAAAAAAAAAAATTTAACATTCTATATAGTATACAAAATTAAATATCAAAAAACTTATTGATTATGGTTATATTATTTACAACTAGACACAGTATAACTTAAGCATTTTTAACAATTCTTAAAACAAAAAAACATATCAAGAAAATTCTCGTTATTTATAACAAATAACTAAAAAAATATATTGTTTTATAGGTACACACATTTTAACATTTTTTAGTATAAAAACAAAATGGCAAAAAACACTTATTTATTATAATCCTTATTAAAACATTCCACAAGGGACATAATATGTCTCGATCTGCTGCTCATTGTCACTTTATGAAAAAACAAAATAGAAAAAACTTGTGACGAAAAACCCATGTCAAGTATCTACTACGCTAATTTATGCAATACTGAGCTTAGCAAGACATTTGGCGCGCGATCCGCTTCGGCAAACAGACCTGTTACGACGTGTCCGCTGAGATATTTGTGTCCGCTATTGTGTCCGCTGTGGCGTGGTAAAATCGGAAAAATTTTGTCTGCCCTGGCGTGATGCGAGGGAAAAATGCTTTTTTTAGGCATGGCGCCAGAGCGGACACCGGTGTCCGCTGAGTCGCTCTTATGGGTGGCGTGCTGGAAAGTTTTATGAAAATTGGCTTGGCGGTGAATGTGTTAATGTTAATATGCTCGATATTGATATCTCCAACACAATTAGGTTTTGTGACATTCTTGAGGTATTTAACTTAACAATCAAGGAGCCTACAAGAGATACTTTCTTACTAGACTTAATAATCACAAATATAGATTCAAACTAATGCAATGATTCTGTTGATCACAATCTAGTTGCTGACCATTCAGCTATTAACTGTAAATTTAACAATTTTTATATCAAACCTCAGGAAAAAATAAAAATTACATATCGTTGTCTGACAAAAATCAATAATGAAAACTTTCAGGTTTGTGCCTTGGCAAGTAAATGATATTGACGAAATAGTAAATTTAAACATTTTTATAATGACAGTTTTAGAATTGCATGCTACTAAGAATTATCAGAAAACGAATTAAATATAGTCCGTAGATTACTGAGAATATTATTCTTATGCAAAAACTCCGAGATAAAGCTTTGCGACCACAACATTGGTCATATTATAAAAAATTAGGAAATTTCACAAATAATGCTATAAAGGCAGAAAAAAGTGCATACTTAAATTTTAAATTCCAAAATTGTAATATATAAGAAAAATGGTCTGAACTAAAAAAACTTAACCTATCTAAAAATAAAAAAACAGATATTTCCAACAATTTGAAAGATGCCAATGCCATAAATAGTTTTTTTACTTCTAGATTTAATAATGTGGCTGCGGTTGACGATTTAATAAATTTTTATTTAACTAATGTCAAGGAGAATATCACAGAGTACTTTCAGTTTCAGTAAGTTACCGAAGATACTATCAATAATAATACTTTTAGTATTAAATCTAAAGCTTATGATATGGATGATAATAATAGTACAATTTTACAACTCTGCTATCCATTTATAACATATATTATTAATGAATCTTTAGCAAAAAGTTTTTTCTTTCTGCTTGGAAATTTGCTAAAGTTATGCCATTACCAAAAGTAAGTGTGCCTAAAGATTTTAGTGAATTGTGATCAATTAGTATTCTACTTGTTTGTTCAAAAAATTTAGAAAGAATAATGGAAATACAAATAAATGATTTTATAAAGAATAACAACATATTGCCTAATAAACAGTCATGCTGTAGGGCTGTATACAGCTGTGCAACAGCCTTATCTAATGTAACAGATGATATTTTTTAGCGCTATTGATAATGATAACATCACTTTTTTAATACCGTTAGATTTTTCAAAATATTTTGACACCATAAACCATGAAATATTTCTAGCCATACTTAAGTATTTTAAATTTGATAACCATTCCATCTCTTTTTTAAAATCATACTTTCATCAAAGGAACCAAATAGTGCAAATATATAATATTTATTATTTTTCGCTGAAGGTCACTTCTGGCGTACCTCAGGGCAGTATTAGTCCCATTGTGTTTTATTCTATATACCTCACAATTTCCTACGGTTTTGTAATACTGTAAAATAGCTACTTGTACGCGAATGATATATACTCAATTATATTACTCTTTTAAACATTCTACCCTAAATGATTCCATCTTAAGAATAAATTCAGATTTGACTAATAGATTTACTATATCTGAAAGGCATTCATTAAACATAAATCCAAGTAAATCCAAAGCTATAATATTTTGTAATGAATTAGTGGTGAGACAAGAAGTTACATCTGCAGCATCAATCAAAATAAATGATATGAATATTCCTATCGTTAGCGAATGTAAAAATTTCGGTCTCATTTTAGATTCCAAGTTAAAATGTCAAAAACTTAATACTGTTAAATTAAAGACATCTTATGCAAGTTGGAAACTAATATATGGACAAAAATATGTTTTGTCTCAAAAGGTATTATCAAATTTCAATCACTTCGATATTGTGTATGGCTCTAGCTTAAATAGTTTTGAGTCTAGAAGAATTCAAAAATTACAAAACTGTTGTATAAGATTAATATATGGATTTCGGAAATATGATCATATTTCAACTAGTTTTAAGCAATCGAATTGGCTAAATATATATAACAGAAGACTTCTACATCTTGCCTATGTATGTCATAAAATTTTTAATACAAAAGTGCCTGCATATCTGCACGATAAATTAACTTACAGAACAGATAT